CCTACGGAAACTGTGAAACGCGTTCCAGGCTGCCACCCCAGGCTCCAATGTGTCGATTGACTGCCCATCCCAAATCTCAACGGTCTTTTTTCCCTTGCTTCTTCGCTTCCAGCTGGTCGCTCTGATCCTCCTTCATGGCAACGATAACATAACTGATCAATACCACGTTGGCCATTACAGCAGCAAGAGCGCCGGCAAATGTCGAATTGCCTGGTTATCAGATTAATCGGGCGCGTCCAATCGTGGTTGGCAGTGGAATGGGAAAAGGCAGGAACACGAGTGCAGCTTACTTACCCTTGAAAAGGAAGTCGACCGTAGCAAAGTAGGTGCCGATGGGCAACACAATCATGGCCAACGTGAATCCAAGAAGCTTCAAGATGACATCCATTGGTACAGCAGGAGTGATGTTGGACTTGTCGCCAGCAGCGGGACTGGCACCAACCACATCATCCTTCTCGAGGATGGTCTTCTCCGAGGCCACGATGCGTCGGGTCGCCATGACGTGTATCTTGATTTGGAAAAGGTGTAAAGTAAGCGCATGGTCTCGTATAGCTTGTGCTAAGGGACAGGAAACTTACAAGGTGTTGATTATCGACGTTGAAATAGGCTCGTTGTCAGTCGAGGACGTTGCGGAAGACCCGGAGTTGATGAACGTCGGTTGGGGCTTATGAGTTTGATGGTCCCGCTCATTGAGCCTTGCTGCTAGAGGTCTCCTCAAAAACGAGACGTGAAGTCAAAAGACAGTGCCCACAGTTCGAAGGGATGATTGTCCGCACGGTGTTTTAATTGATGACGCCAACCACGTGCGGACGCGCTATGGGGATTCGTCTAAGCGCGTTTCTTTGGATTCCCGTGTCAACGGACATGGGGGGGCGTTGCGATCTGCCCCAGAAAATTCCCACTCCAGTGCCGCCGTCGGTTCAAAATCAATCTCGGCCCTCTCCTGCCAGCCTGCTCAGGAGCGCCCACATCTTGGAAGGCGGCACGGATACCTGCAATTGCCCAATCTGTTGCTCTTTTACCTTGCGATTTCTCCTGCTCTAGCGTTAATTATCTCGCACAGCCTTTCGACAATCGACATCTTCACAGCAGCAAAGTCCTCGAGTCCTTCTCTCCTTTGAGCAAACTTCTCCCCGCCTTTGTATATCGACCATTGTCCGCCTTCGTACCTCCGCTTGTCAACTTCCCAATTTCCACCTCACTTCCCACAAGCAACAAACACATCTATACGAGCCATGGTAATCAACTATACCCTCAGTTCCTCACCGCCGCCGGTGGGCAGCTCGGCAATGGGCACGTCACCGATCAGAGGCATTCGTCGCGGTAACGACGCCGACGAGCTCGCCGACGAGACGATCCCCGAATCCCCCTACCAGACACAAGCGACGCAAATTGTCAATCGAACGTCACTCGCGTCCCAAGCCAAGACGCAACCCGATCATTCCTCCTCCCCCTCTTCGCGTTCAGTCATTGAGGTTCCCGCATCCTCGCCGTTCCAGAACAAATCCAGCTACTTCTCACGCCTCGTGCCCCCCGGCTCACGATTTCAGCCGCCCCCCAAGTCACAAGCGCCTTCCAACCCGCGGAAGAGGCCCTCGGCGGAGCCTGTGCTCATACAAGGCTCGTCAGATGACGAAGATGACCGAACGTCCCGTGGCAATATCAGCCAGACATCTTTCAAGAAGCATGTCGCCAACTTTGAGTACGTTTCGGTGGATAAGCTGCAAAAGAAGATTGAAGAGGTTTCTGAGGCGCTCAACGGCACGATACCGGTTCAATACTATAAGGAAGCTTTGACCGCATGCCACAATAATGTTGAGGACGCAATCAACTACTTGTTGGATGGTCGGCATCTGAAGCCCAAAGTCAACAGCTTCGTGAGCTCTACCAAGCCAAGCATAACCGTTGGCGACGAAAGAACAAAGAACATGGACCGCAAGTCAGGCAGACCCGGCTCACCCAGCAAGCCAAAACTACTCGGGCGACATGCCCCGACTCTACCAACACCTTCTCGAAGCACCACCCCCTCACCACCAAAGCCCAAGCGCAGGCGCTTGATGCAAGGTCGTCGCCCCGGTAGATCTCCACCTGCGTCCCAGCAGGCTCACGAAGACGAGCCGTCCCTAGACGAGCTTGCCGCCGACAAAGTGGACGAGCCTATCATCATTCCCGATGACAATGAAGACGAGGATTTTGATAACGAGGATGAATTGAACGAGGCGGTCAAGGACAGCCTGCAGGACAAGGCTCTCCAAGCCATCAACACCAGCTCGATCGCGGATCTGTCAGCCATGACGAATATCAAGATGGACGAGCTGAAGATTATTGAGACGAAGAGGCCTTTCGATACCATTAGCGAGGTACAAGCCGTTTCGGTGGCCAAGAAGGCAAACGCTCGCAGCAGGAGGCCTAAGGTTCCAATTGGAGAGACCCTGGTCGATGCAATCATGGAATTCACTCGCAGCGTCAATGCCATTGACGAAGTGGTAGCCGAATGCGAGAAGAAGGCGAACAAGGTCAAGCAGGAGATCAGCCGATGGGACCTCGATGTTAAGGGTCAGAAACGGAGCACACAGAGCTCCTCCACTAACAGCGATCTCCCCCTGACACCGACAAGCTTCCACACTCAAAAGCTTTCGGAGCCGCCAATCTCCTGCCAGCCGAAGTTCATGGATGGGCACTGCACTATGCGTCCCTTTCAGCTGTTCGGTCTCAACTGGATGTCCCTCCTGTACAACAGTGGCTACGGATGCATTCTAGCCGATGAGATGGGGCTAGGCAAAACTTGCCAGGTCATTTCTCTCATCTGTCATCTTGTCGAAAACTACGAGAAAACCGGAAAGGGTGAGAGGCCGTGGCCCAATCTTGTGGTTGTACCACCGTCGACGTTCTCAAACTGGATGGGAGAGTTCCAGCGCTTTGCTCCCGACCTCTCGATTCTTGCATATCAAGGTCCTCAAGCCGAACGTAGAGAGATAGCATACGAGATGCTCGAGAACCCGGCGGACTACCACGTCGTCTTGACGACCTATACCCAAGTCGGCTCCGAGGAGGACCTGGAGGCTCTCCGAGAGTTGCAGCCAGCCGCAGCCATCTTTGACGAGGGGCACAAGATGAAGAACCCCAAGACCAAGATTTACAAGGACTTGATCAGGATCAAGGCCGGTTGGAGAATGCTTCTCACCGGAACACCTGTTCAGAACAACTTGATGGAAATGCTGGCGTTGTTGAACTTCATTGACCCACTCCAGTTCAACGGTCGGATGGACCAGCTCCAGTACATGTTCAGCCAAAAGGTCACCATTCGCGATGTCAACAATGGTGCTTTCCTCTACGGCGAGCGTGTCAGCCGAGCCAGAACGATTCTGGAACCGTTCATCCTGCAGCGTCGCAAGCAGCAGGTGCTCTCTGACATGCCGGCCAAGATTTGCAATGTCGCATACTGCGATCTGGCACCAGGAGTACAGAAGGAACTGTACGAGGACTACGAGCGACTTTTCAAGGCTGGCCCGGTCAAGAAGACGACAACCGGGCGTCAGAGCGACCAAAACAACAGCTGGATGCAGCTTCGGAAGGCGGCCCTTCACCCGCAACTATTCCGTCGTTACTTTGACAACAAGAAGGTTGAGAAGATGGCGAATATTTTGATGCGAGAGGTTCCGCAATCCGAGCTGCAACAACCGCGGATTGACCATCTCATTGGGGAGCTGCAAAATTCTTCCGATTTCGAGCTGCATCTCTGGTGCCGTGATTACGCTTGTATCAGGCATCTTGACGTCCCTGAGGGTTCTTGGATGGACAGTGGCAAGGTCGTCAAGCTACTAGAGCTCATCCACCAGTATCGCGACAACGGCGACCGCGTCCTCGTCTTCAGCAAATTTGCAAAGGTCATTGAGATCCTACGGGAGGTCCTTCACACCGATAACATCAGGCACTGCGTCTTATATGGCCAGACCAACGTCGCCGAGCGCCAGGATCTGATTGACGAGTTCAACAACGATACAGATATCACAGCCTTTTTGCTCACGACGGGCGCTGGTGGCACTGGCATCAACCTGACCTCTGCCAATAAGATCATCATCTTTGATCAATCCGACAACCCGCAGGACGACATTCAGGCCGAGAACCGAGCTCACCGCCTCGGCCAGACGCGGGATGTGGAGGTGATTCGCTTGCTGACATCGCACACCATTGAGGAGCTCATCTATAAAGCCTGCCAGAAGAAGATTGAGCTCGCCGAGAAGGTCACTGGTGCGGTGGAGGATTTGGACGACAAGAATGCCGAGGAGAACTTGGAGAAGGAGGTTCGAAAGATGATGGCGGATCAGTTGACTCCTTCATGATTCGACGTCTTCTCATCTTGAGACAAAAAAGAGATCATTTTATTTGATTCGACTCGACACACTTTCCGCATTCATTCCGGTTGACCGCCTTTGCGGCCTACATTACATCCGTCCAGCGTTGTTCAGAGTTGTACGACATAGTACCACAACATTGAGAGCGAGCGAGTAGGGGGTCCGGAGACATTTGTATTAATCATGGCAAGAGAGACATGAGGCACCACTAAGAGTGACAGGTTTATATTTCAGAGATGACCGGCGAGGAGGGACCCAAGACAAGAAGTGAGTGGAGGGGAGGCCGCGGGGAGAGGCGTGGGTAGTCCTCCTCAGCTTTGGGATAATGGTCCGGACAAAGGATAGAAAAGACAAGACTTATTCGGTCTAGACGATAGACGAGGATCGGGACCTATCAGGGCAACCTCGGCTGAATGAAATACATGAATTGCATCAAGTCTCACACGGTCTCCCGGGCCTCAAATTGCTATAAATGGCGGCTTACGAGCCAGCCGACAGTGTTGAATCAACATGGTATTAGGCAGTGAGGTAGACAATTAGGATTGGTGCCCATTAGTGGTAGTGGCACAGAATCTAAAACTACTACATAAAGTCAAGCCCTTTTCCTGATCTTCGCAAGCAGTAACAACATCCCATGCGTCGATGTCACTGTGCTGCTGCTCTTGCTTCCCTGGCAGCTTTAGATTGTCGAATCTGTGCCTTGAGTTTCCTCGAGTCGGCTCTCCTGTTCCTCGCGCGCTCTTTGGCTGGATCCGGTTGGGCCTCTTCACCCAGCGTTTCAAAGGCCTTCAAGTCTGCTAAGAATCGACGAATGCGCACACCCGTCTTTTGTCGGATCCATGCGTCGACCTCTTCGTTACAAGCAGCCGATATGGCGATGTGGAGACCTCGCAAAACATCTCTGTCATCAATGTCTTTGTCGTCCTGCTCCTTGGGGTCCGAGTTATCACTACCTCGCAGCGGTTCTCGTCCCTCTTCGGGTTGTTCAGCTGAGGGTAAGGGAGCTTCCTCGTCAACGGGCTCTGGGAGTGGCTCGTCATGTTCGGCTTCTGCAGCCATGTAGGGAATAGCTTGTGCATCTGCCTCCAAGTCTTGTCCTCTGAGTGTCTCATGCCTGGATCGCCTGGCTTCTTGCATCTCCATTTCCCGTGAAGCGGCTTCCATGGCTACTTCAAGTGACGAGGACGAGCTCAAGGTCAGTTTCCATGTGGACGGTAGAGCAGGGTTAGGTGTGATAGTTCCGCGACTCGTCTGAGCCGACCGTTCTCTTCTTTCCACTTCTGTTGCGGGTCCCGGTAGGCTTCTGAACATCCTCCCAGATTGGAAAATTGGCGGATGCTCAAAATCCGTTTGTGTAGGCTTGTTCAGAAGAGCGGCCTTTTCCTTAGCCTTGCGTTCAGGCTGCCTGATCGAAACCCTGAGAGGCTTGTCTACAACGCCAGCTGGCTGTTTCGATCCTGTGGAGATTTTGGTGTTGTATGACTCCTGAGCCTGTACTTCGACCGTGTTCTCGTCTGACTCTGATAATACGGTGGCTTTCACTGGTCTTTTGGCTATGACAGGAAGGGCTTTATCTCCTGGTGGGAAGTTTTCCTGATCTGAAAACACGTTTTGCTGAGACTCCTTACGTATCCCCTTAGGGGCTGAAGATTCGAGCTTTGGCGCCTTTGATTGCTTCCTCGAACGATCGATACGAGCTTGGGCCCTTGGAGGTATGGGTGGTTTATCGTCCTTCAAGTCATGAGGTACCGCTTTCCTTGGAGACTTGCTTTTGGGACTTGGTGCTTCTGTCTCGTTGCGAGAAGGGGGAGCCTCCCTGAGTGGCCGATAGGTTGATGGACGCTGTGCCGTGTTGCCGTGCCATGTTTTGGCTCGAACATCTCGAGAGGCTTTCTCACCTTCGAAAGAGTCAGCAACGATTTGGCCGACGATTATAGAGCTCGACTTACGCCAGCCCTGTAGCGCCTCTGTCTTCTGGGGGTAGACTGGTTCCCACTTTGCCAATATCTTGTTTGGCGTGTCAATTGTTGTCGGCGTCGGAGCGGGAGGTAGCCGACCCGTTGGCATGTCGATCGATTGGTCTCTCGTATTTTGGAAGCAAGGTAGGTTACAACATCTCGAAGTAGAACTTTCCTTCTTGGCGGGAACTTCGTCGATAAAGGCGAGCTCCCAGGCGCCTGGCTGTGCAAAGGCAACCTGCGTACCAGAAGTTGATGAATCGGATGAGCTTGTTGAAGCGCTCCTCAAGCCATTAAGCTGAAGGTGGCCTGGTTCAGCTTGTTTTCTGGTGTCCCTAGAGCGATTCGAGATTGGCTCTGCTTCGATGTCTGGTGGATTCTTCGTCTTCGTGTCCTTTTTGGGAGACGGTTTGGGCGGCGACTTCCGACGCTGCTGTTCAGAAGTCACTGCTAGACCAACAGCTTGGAACTGTTCCTCATACGGAAGAAGAGCTGTAACTGTGTGAAGCGATATAACCGACTCTGGTGTCGGGGTAGAGACAGGTAGCTCTCCTGCAGCTTTTCTACGTTCGGCATATATCTCTAGTTGCCGTGCGAAACGATTTACTTCTCGGCGCCGGCTGGAGGTTCTCGATGGAGGTTGAGGTGCTCGGAAAGATTGGTTTGATGATCTATTTGATGGCGAAGCAACAAGGGATACTCGGCTCTGCTGCGAAAGACTTCGACGAACAGCTTCCTACAGCTGTGGATCAGCAACTCCGAATCTTCTCTCGTGGGATGCCACCGATTCGCGGTGCTGAAAGGTGTGGCCAGGATCCGCCATGGCCGACAGAGGGTGACCTCGGATTCTGGATGGACTGTTGCCAAAGTTGGGCGGTTTTGGCTGACTTGGGGATCCCGAAGGACCTGCAACTGGTCTTCTACGGACGGGACGTGGCTTTGATGCCCGATTTGGAACAGCACGTTGGTAGCGAAAAGAAGAGCCTCGTGGTCTCGGCGATCTAGGACCGGCTTGAACCGCAGGGTCCATCGCGATATACCACGCAGGTGGCGTCCTTTGTATCGAGGGTCTGTTGTGCCTTCGAGAGGTCGGCATCAAGGGCTGAAGAGCGTCCGAGGCCACAATACTGCGCAATCTTTCTAGCTCTCGCTCTTGGGAGACGATGATCGGGACAAGTTGGCTCGCTCTTCTCGCGGATGCTACAGTGGTTCGAGAGCCGGTAACCTTACCGGATGGGAGCCTGGCTCTGCTGGCGCGCTCTGTATGAACAATTATGCGTTGCTGACGACGGAGACTCTCGACAGACCGATTCATGGGCTTGCGGAAGACGTCTTCTGCTGCCTGGTGTGCTTGTGTCGGCTCAGATTTAAGAATGGGCGGCGGTGGTGAACAAGGTGAAATACAATTGCAGTCTCGGAAGACTCTATCGCAATCAAGCATCGTCCATGCTCGCTGCACTGGAATAGTAGCGATGGATCCAAAGAAGAATTTGCGTTGGTATCATGTGGTTTAGGTAACAAAAACGTAGCATAGGAGAGACATATGGTGATACAGAGGGGAGGCAGTCGGTGCTGTGCCTTGCGCGTGGCCCTGGACATTAAAGTCGACGTTCCTTCCCAACATTACACGGAACCGTGTGAAGAAGGATGTGAATAAGCCCGGTTTCTTGGCATGAGGATGGTGGTTTCTTCACCGGCTGATGTCCTTGATACTCGGTGAAGAGTACGTCTCAAGCTGGCGGCGGCCCTTCCGCAATAAATGCTCTACAACGGAGAAGTCGCGCTTGTCGACCGTAATGTACCTTTCAAACTCTGTCCTAATGTGTTGGTCAGTATGGTGGTGAGCGGCACATAAGAAAGCTGGTGCACAAGCTTGCCTGGCAAAAGATTGAAAATGAGGTCGTGCAGTCTATAACGGTATTAACATCTCACATGCAAGTCGAAGACGTTGAAGAAATGTTACCTCTGGCTTCTTCCGTATTTCCCGGATACATTGTCGATAGAGTGCCAAAACCTCCCGTTGAAGGCCAGAAAGACCGCGCTTCGGTACTGCCATCTCGAACGTCAAATCGGCGTTACTGCGGAAGGAATGCTCTTCTGATGGTTCATGAGAGGACCGTAATGAGAAAGTTCGAATGTCGAATCATTGATGTCAACCATGAGAAAGAGAGCTCCATCGTTGTAGCTCGGGCCAATGAGGAACGGCGGAAGTCGGAGGTCGATTGGATGACTCAGCAGCAGCATTGGCATTGGCATGATGCTGGAAGGAGCAAAAGCAAGTAGTGCCCCGTCCCTTAAAAGGGTGTTTGAGCAGCCCTGTAGTCTCCTGAACCCCGTAAAGTACTCTCTTCTGCCTGTCCATAGCAGTAACCCAGAAACTGTAAACTCTAGCTTTTGATGCTGGAAGGAGCTCCTCGGAATTGTGGAGTCGCATCCGGTAGAGGTGCACACCTGTAGTGCTGCGCAGCTGCCGGGAGCTCAAGGCGTAATGATGCCGATGTATTAGCCGGCGCGCCAGAGTGCTACGCAATTCACTTCGCTCTGGCACATCTGACGCCGAACAGCGAGCCGGGGTTTAGCTCTGGAATCCGTGCTCTACGGGGGGAAGTGTGGGGTCGACGGATAGTAATCGGAGGCTTCACGTTCGTGGGGTCCAGTCGCTACAGCGTCCCGTCTTCGGCTCCTCTCCCGATATTCGTCACATTCCATCACCTGCAACATATTCTCATCTACTGTACCATTATCTTGCTTTGTTTCTTCTTCAGCCTGTACCACAATCTTGCAGTTGATGAGTCGTAAATATGGCCTCATTTTCCGTGAGTCAATCGCTACCCAGGAGTGACTGACAGCAGCCGATACACTGACTCTCACACCAGAGACTCGTTCGCTTCCTTGCCCGGGACGGCAAGACGTACTACGGCGATGCAATTCTGCCGAGCGGCGTCACTGACATCGCCAAGGCGAGGCAAGCCAGAATCGTGACGGGCGACATCTTTGGAAGACACGACGTCACAGAAAACGTCGCCGACATCCGCCTTCTGCTGTCCCCCCTTGCGCCTGAGCACGTCAAGACTGTACGGTGCCTCGGGCTCAACTATGCCAACCACGCCAAGGAGGTGAGATTAGAGCCAAAGAACCCTGGAAATGGCTCTGCACAAATAGCTAACAGCACCCCTTAGTCAAACATGGCAATTCCCAAATTCCCTGTTCTCTTCGTAAGTCGTCGTCGTTCGTTGAGGAAAGAAGAAAATGGTAGACTCATTTCTCCCAGTACAAGCCCATGACCTCTCTGGCTGGACCGACTGACCCCGTTCCCGTGCACCCGATTGCTCAGACCGGCAGCACGCTGGACTACGAGTGCGAACTGGTCATCGTCATTGGCAAGACCGCCGCGGACGTCTCCGAGGACGATGCCCTCGACTACGTCCTCGGCTACGCCGTGGGCAACGATGTGTCACACCGCGAGTGGCAAATCCAGCGTGGCGGCGGTCAGTGGTCTCTCGGGAAAGGCTTTGACGGCTGGGCGCCGTTCGGGCCTGGCATTGTGACCAACAAGGTCATCAAGGATCCTCAAAACCTCAAGATCTTTACCAAGGTCAACGGGGAGACCGTTCAGGTGGGTGTTGGACCGCAGGCAACGAAGTGTGGGTTCAGAACTGACGAATGGGCCAGAATAATAACACCAAGGACATGATCTTTGGCATCAAGAAGACAATCTCCTTCTTGAGCCAGGGCACTACCCTGCTCCCGGGAGACGTCATCTTCACCGGAACGTAAGTAGATCAACGAAGAGCCCTAGCCGACCCCATGACTGACGGTATATGTAGTCCCGAGGGCGTTGGCATGGGTCGCAAGCCCCAATTGTGGCTCAAGGACGGAGACGTTGTTGAAGTTGGCCTTGAGAATGTGGGCTCTTGCATCAACAAGATCGAGTTCAGCAAGGTCAAGTCAAAGATTTAGGGACGGAGCTGAAAGTGGCGGGGAGGTGCATTGTACCAATTGCTAAGATAATGGTCATTTGTCAACTGAAATCTGTTGTTTCATATGGAGTCTAAACAAACTTGGCTGAGGCAGCGAGATGGCGCTCCCCGAATTTGCGGCCGAAGTAGCACGCGTTGGCGTATCGAAACATAGAGAACCTGTAGATGCCTGATGCCGAGTTCCTTGGAAGGTGGCAAGCTTCCTTCATTATGAGCTATGCAAATTGCGGCGGCTCTTCCCATCATGGAAAGTACACAACATGGGCAATTAGTGAATCGAGAGTACCTCATGCTCAGACGACGTCAAAAAAGAAAAAGAAAAAGCACCTCAAAAAGGTATTGAAATGGTTACTTTCATGCATCCGCCGATAATCGAAATCGGGTCCCTTGCTGACCGCGAAGAATCATGGAAGGCAAGGATGATAACCACTACACTACAGATGCTGGTGAGAATTGTAGCGGGTCCGGCACCTATGCATCATTGAGCCAGGCCAGGCAGGAAGGATCGGCTTGTGGTCCGTGCCCCAATCTCAAACTCCAGGCAGGCGTTCCTCATCCTCACTCTTTCGTCTCTGTCCAGCTTCAGACGGAAATCAGAAATCATAGACGGAAGAGAAGGTCACGCCTTTAAACTTTCATCTAGAGCTATTTTGAATATTCTTTTGTCATTTCTTTATATGCTCTAGGCTGACACCATTCCAGCTCCCTACCAAGGACGTCAATCTATGCCGTAATCGGCGGAAACTCGGCCTGCAAGGCACAGCAGCGCGAGTACGACATGATCCCACGACGTATTATCACCGACTGGAACATTTCACCATCAGCCAAACTATCCATAACCAATCTTCAGGAGGCTAAGCGTTGCGTGACATACCTTCTAACGGCACCAAGCAACCCCTTCGGTGACCAACTGCGGCAGTTATTACAGACTGACCTCCAGGGCGCACTGCACTGCCCGCGCGCTAAGTAGCCGAACGTGCCCAGCTCCGCCCCCAACACCAACGCAGCCCACTCGCAGCCAGTTCGGCCTTCTTCGCGATGTTTATCTTCAAGACACGAGACTCAACCAACCAGGTCTCGCCTCGCGACATCGTGCTTGACGAGTCTGCCTTGATCTAATCAGCTCCCGGTTGGCGGGCTACCAACCCATTTTGTCCGCGGCCAAGTTCGCAAAACGATAGAGCCGATCTTGGCCGCCGCCAATGCTATGTTAACTTTATGTGGTGTTTCTCCATACCACCTCCACGCCTCTTTCGACAGTCTAGCAGTGCAGCTGGGGCAGATTCAGCCCTGTGGTCTGTGAGCTGTCATCAGGGTGCCTCGTCGTTGATCCCCCAAAAAATGGGGATCTCTTCAAGCTTGTCATGAGGCTCGGAGGAGCCGCCAACTGCACCTTGGCTTCCTTCATGCTCCGCTTTCCGCTCACGCCATGTAGAGAGACTCTTACGTTTCGTTGGTGGGATTGGTTAGATTCTCCATATCCATATCTTCCGCCAGGGCTCTGTTATGAGACACACTTCTACCTAGATAGATACTTTTCCCGCTCTTGATGGACTGTTCGGCGTGGCGTTTAGTTATTTGTGCTCTTCTCTCCGTTCTCTATCGGCGAAGAGCCAAAATCTACATCCTACCTAAGACAGCATCTTATACCCAAGTACATGACGACAACCACGTCGACCGTCGTCGAGATGGAGACTGCGACGAACGTGCCCGCCCGCCTGGAAGACTACGTGGGGTTCTACGGCGACCCATTTGTGACCCTACGAGACTTTGACGATGATGAGGTGAAGCCTACTCTGCCCATCACCAACAAAGAAATAACAGCTCAGAATCCCGCCGATGAGAATGAAGCAAACGAGGCGAATTCAATACAAGAGGGTGAGGATGAGGATGAGGCCCGGTGGACTGAATACAACCCGCCAGCGTCCCTCAGAACAGCGCCAAACCTCACTAACACGGTAGCCCTCGAGATCCTCCAGGTCTCCATCGAGAACCTTCAGGCAAGAGCCGCCGAGGAAAATCAGCGGCGGCAGCTAGAGGAAGATGAAAAACAGCGGGAAGCCGAAGCAGCAACCGCAAACGACGAGGGAGACGGCACGGTAAAGGAGCCGTATCTTCCCATCATCATCACTAGTCCGGACGGAGAACCCGGTCCATCGTCGGCGCTCGAAACGGAAGAAGTTGATAATGTCGAAGATCTCAAGCTGTTTCCCGAGATGACGGGAGCGGGCGAGGGCAATACCTTGTCACAGGGGCTCATCGTCTTGCCATTCCAGCCCAAGAAAAGAAGCCGCTTCGCCCTGACGAGAATCTTGCAAAAGATTGGTGAAAAGGATGTTGCGAAGAAGACGTCCCTTTTCGGTGGTAACTCGAGCAAGACGAGCCTGGAAGCAGCAGTGTCTGATGAACCCGCTCCTACTGTCACAGAAAAGCAAAAGAAAGCTCCTGTTACTGTGTAAGTCACATCCCCCTTACCCCCTTTTCCAACACTGAACCCATTCTCGACATCTAACACCAAACCCACCAGCGAATGCGTCTCCTGCCTTGACGACTTCAGCCCAAAGAAAGTCATCAAAGTCACATGCCACAGCTACTGCCCCGACTGCTTCGAACGCCTCATCTCCACAGCCGTCCAAAACGAACAACACTGGCCCCCCAAATGCTGCCTCAACCCGATCCCAACCCGCCTCTACCTCCGCAAGATCTCCCCCGACCTGGCAAAGACCTGCAAAGACCGCGCCGCCGAGTGGGCCATCCCCGTCGCCGACCGCATCTACTGCGCCGAACCGGCCTGCGGCCTCTGGGTGCGCCCCGAACACGTCGACGCCGCATCCCGCGTGGCCCGGTGCCGCGAAGGACACCGCAGCTGCAGCATGTGCCGGGGACCCCACCACGCCAACGACGCAGACTGCCCGCTCGACCGGGACCTCGCGCTGACGAACGCCCTCGCCGCGGAGGAAGGGTGGCAGCACTGCGGGCGGTGCCAGGCGCTCGTCGAGCACCGCGAGGCGTGCCAGCACATGACGTGCCGGTGCGGCTACCAGTTCTGCTACGTCTGCGGCCTGCGGTGGCGGACGTGCACTTGCACCATGAACCAGCTCGAACTCATCAAGAACGGGGCCGCGGCGCGGCGGCGGGAGAGGTTGCGGCGCGAGGCCGAGGCCGAAGAGGAGCTCCGCGACGCGTTGCGGCAGATTGAGGAGTTTGAGCGCGAGGAGGCGCTGAAAGCCGAGCTGCTGCGTCTCGAGATGGAGAGGCTTGAAGAAGAGGCGCGCATTGCGTGGGAGGAGGAGCGGGCTCGGCTTGAGAGTCTGAGGCGGTACGAGATCGAGGTGAGGTTCCAGGAGCTGCGCGAGCTGCTGGACCAGATTCACGACCTGCAGGAGTTCCTGGTGCGGTACCAGCACGATAAGGAGAAGGAGCTCGCGGCCAATGAGGAAGCGACGTCGACGGCGGAGCTCGAGTCGAAGCAGGAGGCTGAGCAGCGAGCCCTCGTCGAAACGGCCGCGGATAAGCTAGCCGCCAAAGTCAAGAGCCTGACGGCGGAGTACGCGGCCCGCGTGCTGGCGGAGCAGAGGACGGAAGAGGCGTACCTCCGTCAGCTGGAGAGCTTCTTCGCGGACCGCCCCTCGAGCGAGGCGCGCATCGAGGTGCTGATGCGGGAGTTCCGCGGAACGATGGATAAGGGATGGCGGGCGTGGGAGCGGTGGCGGGACGAGGAGGTGGCGCGGTACAAGCTTAAAGTTGAGGAGGAGCGGACGATCCGGGAGGAGATTATGTACAGCGTGCGGATGCGGCACGAGGAGAGGCTCGAGAGGGCGCGGGCGGAGCTCGAGAGGAGGCAAGCTGCTGAGATTAAGTGGGTGACGTTGGTTTTTGCGGAAAGGATGCGGATGCTGGATGCGATGGAGAGGGCGGAGCTGGAGGGGGAGGGGGTGGAGAGGAATGAGGCTTTGGTTGGGGTGAGGGATGATGAGGCCGGGTCTAGTTGACGGTGGGAAGGCGGCCTGGTCTACCTGATCTTGGCCGTCACGCTGATGATGTTCAAGAGTCGACTTGAAAGCTAACAGGTTTACGCAGATGTGATAGCAGAGCATAGCAGTAGGCAGTTTGTAGCGACTGATATTTGGAAACACCTTGCTGGGAGGTTTAACAGTTTATAAATCACACTTGAGATGTTAGCATGGTGATCTTGACGCTTAATTCTTTATTAGACGTTGGATCAATGACATGGAGTCAACCGACATTGTCACGTCCTCATGAAACCAGATAGTAGATGACACAAGATGTCTGTATACTTGATCGTATCATTATAAAAGGTCTGTATCGCATGATCTCTGTACAACATTAAATAGTGGGGGTATCTGCATGCTCGTATATGCTTTCATGTCACGGAGCTTCAAGTCCGTGAAATGCTAAAATTGGGAGAAGGGAAATCCCCAATGCGATGGTGCCAAGCACACACACACATAGCCTCTCTCAACCGCGCTTGTGCTCCAACTCCTCGGCCTCGTGACCGAGCTTGATCTCCTGCTCGACCTGCGCGAGATCGAGGTCCGCAACCTGGGCGTCGGGGCCGTCGATGACCTTGACGAGCTCCTCGAGCGTAGGGCCCTTTGTCTCGACGTAGAAGAGGTACACAAAGACGAGTTCGAGGAAGATCCAGCACTGTTAAACGCAATATCATTAGCCAAAATGTTCATTGACCTCGAAGTCGAAGACGAGTGAAAACTTACAGTGTAGATGAGGTACAGCTTCCAGGTGTGGCCGGTAAAGTAGTCAAACGCGTAGGGGTTGGCGTAGTTGTTGAGCGTGAGGGCGGCCTGGACGGTCAAGTTGACAATCATGAGACCCTTGGCACGCAGCTTGTACGGAAGGATTTCGATGGAGTAGCTGATGAGGAGACCGGACCACGCGAAGGCGTAGAAGAAGCCAAACAGCCAGATGAAGAAGATCATGGCGTAGTTGGAGCCGGGCGAGCCGTGCTCCTCGTACAGGCCGGCAGACAAGGTCCAGAAGACGAAAGTCATGAGCATGCCGCCCGTGGAGGCGAGGAAGATGGGTCGGCGACCGAAGCGGTCGACCTGCATGGCCAAGGTCAGGGAGGTGATGAGGGAGAGACCGGTCTGGCCGGCGGAGAGGCCGAGGCGGGCGGTGGAGCTCTCGATGCCGGCGTTGGCATAGAGGATATTTGTGTAGTTTGAGATGATGGCGTTGCCGGACCACTGCGAGAAGAGACCGAGGGAGATGAGGACGATGAATCGGTACTTGTTGCCGGCGGTGCGGAAGAAGTCGAGGTAGCTGCTGCTGTTCTTGGCGGCGATCTCGCGCTTGATGGTCTCGCGAATCTCGCGGAACTCGAACTGGACGGTGGGGTTGTTGGTGTCGCCGTTGGCGTGGTACTTGCCCAGGATCGCGAGGGCCTCGTCGTGGCGGTCCTTGGCGATGAGATAACGGGGAGACTCGGGAACCCCTGTTTTGATAACCAGTCAGAATCTGACGGAGAACCTCGATTCATGAAGATGACTTACAGAAGATGAAGGCGAGCTGGATGACGGAGGGCACCGCCTGGCCAATGGCAGGGATACGCCACGACCACTCATTTCCGAGGAAGTCGGTTCCGAAAGAGAGCCAGGCGACGACGAGGGCACCGACGTTCCACAAGCAGTTGTAAACCGTCGTCAAGCGAGCACGATGCTGGGGGTGGCAAAGCTCAGCGAGCAACATGGGTGAAGTGATCTGGGCAAAGGAGTTGCCGAAACCAAGAAGGACACGACCGCCCATAAACACTGCGGATGGTCAGCCTCTGAGAAACCGCTGCTACATCTTTGTAGCTACTTACTGCCCATGCTTGTGCAGGCGCCCTGCAAGACGGCACCGGCAACCATGATCAAGCAGCCGATGACAATGGGGATCTTTCTGCCAAAGTTGTCGGCAATGAAGGGGCTTCAAAAGGGTCAGTAAACTTGTTGATCGCCCGGGGGCTTCGTGCGAGAACGTCGCTTACACAATAGGAATCGAAACCAGACTGCCGATTTGGTAAAAGGCACCGAGAAGACCGAGCTGGCCTCCCTTGGGGTGATCGAAGAAGGACTGCCATGAGTCGAAGTTCTGGACAGAGTTGAAGAACATGCTACAAATCACGTTACTGTCAGCAAACGGGCCTGATTGTGTTCTCTTTCATGATCGTTTGCGCAACTTACCCATCGTAACCAGTAGTCGCGGAGGCAATGCAAAGGACGAAGGCGTAGAAGTAAAGCTTCCTCAGACCGGGGTCCTTCACCCAGTTGACCTTCTCAAAATCCGGCGCCTCTTCCTGAGCTATGACAACAGCCTCGCTGTTGGTCTTCTTCTGTGTAACGCCCTTGAGGAAACCCATTTTGGCGTCTGCTCAATGGAGCTATATATCGTGTGTGGGTTTGTCGTGGTAAGTTGACGTTTGGCTTTCTGCCGGCGACCAGAGCAAGAGCCAGAAGCAGGTCTCCGTGTTGTTTTGGGCCAGAGGATGACTTGAGAGGGACGGACAGGGCGAGAAGGACAGCTACAATCTACGACACGGGGTCTCCAGGTCTTATTATATGGAGCTGTGGATCATAAGATGAACAGATGGGAAGCAAAGAATAAACAGTGCGAACAGCTTCAGACGGGGCATCGGACCGGGAAGGCCTAGGTCTAGAGACCGGTCTTCTTGGGGGCGGGGGGGTGATGGAAGCTGGAACCACTTGGTTGGGATCCTTTGCGTGAAATCCTAGCGGAGGTCGACCGGTTCCCAATCAGCTGTCAATATCATAGCGACTTGAGAATATCGTCCTGCACGAGGACGAAGCAGCCTGCCGGCCCAGGTAAATTGCCAGGCCCATGGAATCTCCTAGTGCGTACACGGCGCAGGGGATTGCCACTGTCTCCCGGCAAAATGCGATGGGCTTGAACCGTTTCAAGACAAAGCTTCGCTGCCAAGTTTGGCTCCGAGAAGTATCAAGTCACGAGGGGCGGGAGGCTTTCCTCTACTCTCTACCCGTACGGCGTACACCTATCCGAACTAGGCTCTTCCCCAAGAAATCTGCTGCCGTCCGAACGGGTGAATGCGAATCGGACACCTATTTCTCCAAACTTTGGCAATCGTATTTTGCCGGGCGCCTGTGTGGACACTTCAACCCACTAGACAAGGACAAGACTAGATGGGAAAAGGGCGAAAGGTGTGAGAGTTCCCACTTTGCTGAACGTTCCCCCTGGGGTCCCGTGGAGAAGGAGGTGGAGGTAAGCAGGGAGGTTGTCTTTCAAGTGGAGACTGCGACGGTCCCGCCCGTTGTCCCATTCTCTTTCCCCGAGGTGACTCGACACGCTCGACTACGACTGAAAATTGTAAACATACGTGTATGAAGATTGAGGTGATGAGAAGGCCAGTTCCGGGAGCTTCTCAGTTGACGTCAATGGCTGAAGTTTCGGGCAAGAGGCTGAAAAAGACGGGCAGCTTTTGCCGGCCTCTTAAGAGTTAACCCCAGAGATATCCTAGCAAGTGAGGACAGAGAGAAAAAGAACCGCAAAATTAGACGAGTTTGGGGTTGACTAGTCGACCGCTGCGGGGAAGACAAGGCCGAGGTGGACGACTCATCGCTAAGCTAAAATCGGTCGTCTTTACCACTAGAATGTGGGCGCTGGGAACATGGCGACTCGACTTAAACCCGGCATGACGCTTCCGTGACTCGCCAGGTATACTCCGTACACTTTCTATTCCGTGTGTTTCCGTGTGCCGTGCCGTTGCTGGGCCGGCTTGATGCAGTGATCACGCCGGGGCCGCAACGAAGTATCAGTCAATGGTTGCTTCTCACGCGTATTATCCCAATAATTTCTGGGGCAAATGAGAGAAAACTTACTCGCCACGTGAAAACGGGAAGCTCTTTCGACGCATGAAAAACAGTAAATGCTTCAATAAGGTGCTCGGTACTCATGTCCGGGGACCAAAGTTTGCTGCGATGAGGCGGTAGGCCAAACCGAAAGTGTAGACACCTCCGTCCCGTCGATGCAACTTTGTCCAGGAGCGACCCCTGCTAAGAGAGACACCCTCGGTAAAGCTTTCCACCGTGCCATTGGTGTTATTTTGAGGACATGGGTTGCGGGCCTGGTACCAAAAGCAAGACGGGCCTTTTGCGCTTACTCAAACCACTGATGTGTATCCAGATTCTAGAGACAAGTCTGCTTCTTACACGGTGAGTAATGGCGACGTAATATGCCTCTTGACGCCGTATGTCGCTTTCAGCGCGATCAGTCCTCGTGCCGGCGGGATGGATTCCGCAGCAATGGGGCGACAGCGGGTGCATGCGAATCTCTCGTAACTTGGTCGGCCGAGAACCGCTCCTCTCTGAGTACCCATAGACCCACCCTCCCCAAGGTCATTGAGGGTGTGGATTCGTGGGTGTGCGCTGTGCGGAGGGTCACCATGAGGGCCAAGATTATTCCGTCGATACTGCTGCTCGACTGTCAATCGATCCACGATGAAGCGGAACAGCCCGACTTTGCATTCCATCCCGCGCTGTAAAGAGGACTCGAGAGTGGTAAGGCCTGCTCTTCTCAGTCAGATCACTCCTTGAGTGACTTTCGCCAGGGTCCTTGCTAGGTGAAGAGTTCACGTGGATGCTTCCGAGCGTGGGTGTGAACAGCGGTGGGGGGTGTTGGGGAAGGCCTCGCACACCAGGCCTGTCAGTGGTACGACACTTGAGCAGCTCATACCCAGCATGAATGATCGAGTTCCCTAGTCGAACGGTCTTGCCTCTACACTAAACCGTCGTGGGTCGTGGAGATGCATTTGCGGAGTCCCACGACAACGCTGAGAATCGCACCGTGTCCAAGTTGCCCGTTGGAGAAGACTCGAGGGGTTGGAGATTCCTAGCGTGAGGTTGAAAAAATGGCTACTGCGCCGCTGCCTCACATGGGGTTTCTGCCAGGATACCACGTCGTTGACCGGCGCCACCTAGGGCACCCGATGCATTTAGCCATTTAGCCTGATATCAGGCTGAATGACGCCCGGTAGTGGTTGATAGAGGGAAGATCGCGCTATGCCAACGGCAGAACATTGGATTGCAGGGTCTTGCCCGTGACTGAACCAACACGAACGGAGTTGCGATTTAATTAACCAAAGTCGGCTCTCAGCCGACGCATTCCTTGTTGCAGACTCGCAAGTCGATGGTCGCGTTCGAGACATAGGTAGGTAGTCAGCCGCCTTCGTGCTTCCTCTTGTCCGTAGTGTCTGTCTTTCAACCGGGCCGACTTTTCGATCAACAGCAGTCTGTGGACAGTCTAGGCGGCTCATGACAGCTCACGACAGCCTCGGTAACAGCAATAATTGCATGGCCTGTAATAGGACCAGACCGGTATACACGTAGATGATCTTCTCATGTAACCACCACAGCTGTAAGTATCTTGATGCACAAAGTCCAACTCACACCGGTAGCTGTATCCGAAGGCCTCCTTGAAGAAAAGTACACTTGTCGAGCTGTTGTCGGCTTGCGGCTGCTTCTCGAAGGCAGGGGTAATTTATCCATAAATTGCCGGCATGTCGCCGCTAAGGGTATTATTCTCAAGTTGCCGATTGATGGGAGATCGTCGAATCCGTGATCTTGGGACCAATTGCTTATATTGCTTGCAGCGCAGCACCCATCCTCCAGGACTGGCCCCTGAGAAGTCTCCGTAGCAAGCCGCAGGACCAAGAAATTGACGTTCCCGTGGGAGCAACCGTCCAGCGACGGTACCTGCATAGTAGCCGGTGTCCGGTGGCCGCCTTGTTCCGTGGCCGCCGCATATTGGTGATGCCTTGAGAGGACACCTCAAATGGACATTCTGCCGTAATTTGTCATATTGAATTTCTTTGGGGGAATTGTCCGAGGAACGACCGCATTCAAGGTTCTCTGCTAAACTGGCTCAAACGGAATGTTCTCAGACGATGTATCAAGCATCTTTTATATGCATCTAATGGGTATTAGGATTCTATGATTTGAAGCGCGAGGCTTGTTGAAGTCAGGAATTGTGACAGACTGTGATCCAAGTCTTAGCCGCACGGACTCCAACTCGACCAGCTCCTTCCCCGCACAACTCCGGTGTCATCCCGTACTCGTCCCACTGGGAACTTCCATCGCAAGATTCACTTTCCACCCGCAATCGCAATCGTAATCACCAATTGGCTAGGTTAGGCGCTTTACTGCCGCCTGTGCCGCCGTACCGGACTTTCACAAGATGGACAAACTCAGCACCAAAGAATTATGGCAACTGAAGCACAACTTCTCATCAGCCAGAGAATCGTCTGAAGAGCACTTCTTCCGGTGCTGGAACCACCAGGACTGCAAGGTGTGCCTGGCGGAGAACGAATGCAGCTGGTGTCCCATGGTACCGTTCTACCACGCCCAGAATCGGAAACGATGAAACGAAATTTTGTGTGCTAATTCGTGATGCTGTGTCTGCGTTCCTTGATATAGACGTCCGCCTGTGTCCCTAATTCGTACGCGATTCCGTTATTGGCACCCGCCTACGACGAGAACATTTGTCCGCACTGGGCGGAACGATGGGAGTTGCGCACCAAGCCGTTGGGCTGCCAGGTTTCGACTATTACGAGTCTGACGTCCATCATCTCCATAGTGTCGACGTTCATCGTGGTCTTGTTGGTGGCCTTGATCGTGCTCGGCGTCCGCTGGGGGAGACGACGGAGTAAGCAAGACCCGGACTGGTGGCGGGTGTGGAAGCGTGACTGGAGCCGAGTGCAATTTTGGCAACGACCGCAAGAACAGGACGGCGAACGCGACCCGTTACTGGGTCAAGCGCAAAGCACGCGAGATGGCACGTAGCGAAAAATAAGAGCTGCCGCAGGGATTTACTCCTGCTATGCCCACGACGACGTGGTGGAACCAAGTCACAGATACGAGGGCTGCCACCGACGGGATCCCTTCACCCGGAGCTGACCGGAGGAATGATGGCTACTTCATCGCCGGACCGTATTATCGGACCGTCCTCGTCGTCCGGCCCAGGGATATCTACGTATTCTAAGTTGACCGTCACCAGACACGACCCTAAGAACCTCTCCTTGAACCCGCCGTGTCTCTCTTCAAGCGCATCGAATAGCTTCTTCAAGGGGAGAGGGGCCGGCAACACCTCATATTGCTTGGATGTGAAGGAGCCCGCGCTTGCAAAGAACAAGACGTTGAAGTGGTCTTTGGGTGGCCTGGGAGCCGCAGCCATGTTCGAAGTATGATTGGTAGAGATCTGCAATCTTTTGTTTGGGTTAGCCAATGCTACAAAAGCTTGGAGTGAACGCAAAATAGTAGTTGATAGTGTTGGTGTCAGAGATCTTGGTGATAATTTTGATACATCAAAAGGATTCAGGTAATACATGCTAATTTGGATACATCATCCCAACTTTTGTAACGAGCAAAAATAGAGACTGTTTGACTTACCACTTCGCGAAATGCCCCCTTTCAAGGGTTGAGGGTTAAAGAAGAGAAAAGTCTAAGGTCATTGGGAATCCAGAGAAGTTTATAGCTGCAAGAGATAAAGGAGTGGGGCAGTCCAAGGAAATTTTCGTTGGCCCCCAATCACGTGACACATCCAAGGAATTTGCGGCCTTGTGCTTTGCGGCTCTCAGGCGCAGCTTGCGGGGCAATTCGCGATCGTGATGACAGTTGCAGTCTGGAGAAGTTGATGCTGAAGGAGAGTTCCAAGACTACGTTGATAATCAAATTGGTTGAGACTTTCCCCTGCACACGTCGCATTCTCACATCGTTCCCCGAGGGGACAGTATCATCGTCCAAGCAGCGTGAACCACATAGCAGTCAGTCGAGATGCAAGAATTGGTGCAGATGTTTGATGAATTTTCCCAGGCTGTCCATTGATTGATATATCTCGTAGACGCCGTTCCCTTTGCCCCTTCCAGCGTCGCATCACAAACAGGTACACGAGGTCGTTCTTCGTGCAGAGTTGCCTCGCGGCTGGGTGGGAGAACCTTGCTGTATTCGCAATGCAGAATCCGTTTTTTGACTCCTCTAAGCACGAAAGCCGTGGGCTCGGGTGACGAAGCCCTCGCAATGTTCCTGTCCCATCCTCAGAACCATGATTCCGTTCCTCGTAATGTCCATAACACACGCCGCCGCCTATTCAGCTGCCTTATCTCAGTCTGCGGGCCTCACGCTCAGACTCGAGCAAGCAGAGGATATCGTCCTCACGGACTAGAGAGAGAGAAAGATGTTAGCCAGTATTCTTGGTTCCCTTCGCGCGGTTGTCGCTGTTGCCCCCTCTTTCGGTGAGAAGGCGGTCGCAGGTATTCGGTGGTCGCTTACCGGGTCCCTTGACGTTACGGATAATGGAACGGGTCTCGTCGTCCATGAACTCGACGCGGACTTGGGTGACACCACCGCGGGAGCCTATACGCAGTCAGAAAATCTGCCAAAAATTCGTCCCTCCTTCCGTCTCGGTTGCAGTCGGGGATTCGATCTTCGTCGGGGAGGGTTTCGTTTCTCTATTTTTCGGGGGAGAGGCGGGGCATACCGGTACGGCCCAGGACGCGGGTGACCTTCACAAGCTTGACAGGCTGCTTAGCGGAATCCATTTTGACTGCGGGCGAAAATTCTACGTCAGTCGATCAAGATCTCTGTCAATTTTTCTCGGGCGTCGCGACACGTACATGTATGTGGTTGCGAAGGTGCTGCTGGGTGGTGGGCTGCGCGGGTTGATGGTTGACTGCGAGTACGATCTTTTTTTCGCTACGAAGACTTGTGGAAGGGCTTTAGCGAAAGGAAACCCTTCCACGGTGCGTGCTAGAGACCCAGCGATCTCTCATTGGTCGCGAGTTGGGCGCATTGTCCATCTGGTTTCTGCCGTGTTCACCGCTTACCGAAACCCATCTCCAACCCCATATTTGTGCTGCATACCTTAATAGCCCAGAAATAGTAATATGAAGGGCATTGTCTACTGATCACTCTACCTTACTGTAAGAAACAGATGACGATGCATCAGACAAAAGCAGGGTGGGCGTCTGCAGAAGTAGAGACTGGCAATAAGTTCGCTATATTTCGAACGCATCTGACATCTTGAATGTTTTTTGATCGGGTTGCGGAGTTCACCGAAGGTGCTTTGATGGTTATATCTGGCTTTCCATAGTCGGGTTTGTGGTGACATACATGCACGTCGAAGTTGGGAGCTCAGATCCTAAAACCTCGTAAGGGCCTAGCCAGTCTACAACGACACATCGACAGCCACATTATGGACACATTCGCAAGAGATTTTTTAATTCGGCTCGATTGATCGATTAAAGCAGGGGTATCTTTTGACGGCGGAAGTCAATTATGGCAACTTCGCAATGCGTCCCTCCAAGTCCTTTACCCATGCCTCCATCACCTTCATGTTTCCGGTCATGGCAGTGCCACCCTCCTTCATCGCCTCCTCAACCTTTTCCAAACCGTCCTTCCATTGCTTAAGGTCCGTCGCCATATCGGTTTGTTGCTTTTCAATTCTGCCAAGCATCTCGCCAGCAGTGGCAGCGTCAGAGTGTATTGCGCGGAGGGACCTCAGGCGGTCAAGTAATGGTGGTAAGAGAGGAGTGAGGTTCTCAATGGTCGGCAAAGTCCCATAAAGAGCGTTAATCTTTGCCAGCTGCTCGGGAGCCGGGGCATCCTCGCTAGGAGCCGTACCATTGCCGAGGGTTTCTTGCGCAGATTTAGCCCCCTGGCGTGCCTTTTCCAGCTCCTGAGCTTCTTGGATGAGGGTACGGACTCGACGGCTGATTGAATCCAGATTCGATGTTGACGCCTGCGACAGAGTCGTAATCTGCTTCTGAAGCCCATCAAGCGTGGGAAGAATGGCTCTGGGCAGACCATTGATGTCGACTTCCGGCAGGGCGGTTGATCCTACTCCGATTGCCTTCTCAAGGAGGACCAGTCGTCGGTCAAAGTCCGCGGCGGTGGCGAGAGCGTGACTCTGTTCGTAGGTAGGAGCATACGTTACTGTGTAGGTCGCAGAGTTCCCCGGTGCCACCAAGTCTTGCGATTCATTCTTAGATGGTCCAGATGATTGAGACACTGGCTGAGGTGCGCGAGAAGCGCTCGTATGCGGTTCCAGAGTTTTGGAGATCTCGTCCAGGACCTTGCTGAGAGACCCTAAATTCTCGTCATGGTCTCCTGTCGTAGATTTTGCTGCAGCCTCCTTCCTCTTCCCGTATTCCTCCTTGGCTTCCTCTACTTCTCGTTGCAGCCGCGCTATCTTGCGTTCCAGGCTGTCCTCATCGTCCTCATCGCTAAGATCGCCGAATTGCTCCGTACCATCCTGCAAGAAACGCTGGCGTCGCGTTGATGCCTTGTACGATTTGCGCTTGCCGTCTACTCGATCGGAAAAGTCGACCCCTGTGGCGTCCACGCCCGCCGGCAGGAAGCGAGATCGTGCTTCATCTACCCGAAGTCGGGACCTTGAAATGCCGTTGGCGTCATCGTCGAGGTCGTCGTCGAAATCGTCATCCGAATGCGATTGTCCGGTTGTCGTCTGCGCGCTGGTCAGCCATAGCAAACGATCTCAGGGTAAGGAACGCACAGGAACAGTGGAGGTATCGTCTGTCAGCTCTGGCGTCTCGTACACGTCCGGGGCCGAGTCCTGAACATCGTCAGTATTGTCTTCTTGGTATTTGGTAGTACAAGTATGCTGACAAGGTCTGGTAATGCTGCGTATTTCCGATTCAACGCCATGACGAAGAATCCGGGAAGAATTGGGGAATTCGGTGGATGAGGACGCGTTGTCTGGCAATGCACCCCTTTCGAGTCGTCGGTAAGGCGTCGCCCGTGAAGCTTAATGGCCCAGTTGTCGATGTACGGAGTAGTAAAGTCAACAATCAATCAAAGACCCCTGCGCAGGAAGGGGAGAGCTCCAGCGTCCACGCCAAAAGTCACTGAGCCACCAGGGGTTTCCCGCTAACGTGGACGTACCCATTGACAGAGTGGGGTGGGGTCGTTTGTACACTGCTTGGCCGGTGCTTGGGCAGGCACGCGTCGAGAACGCGATTGTAGCTTCCACCTTTTCCCCGGGTCAGCACTTCCACTTAACCTCAAGCGGCAGCAAATTTTGTGGCTCTGGGGGCCGAACAAACAACGTCTCCTCCGCAATTGAGAAGATCAGATATCGGTCGAGGCTACGTACGAAGACTCAACATCAATTGGGGGTTGTCGTTGATCATCTTGCATATGTTCGCCAACCTCCATTACAAAGTATCAGGGATTGAACCGGAAGCGGGAGCGAACCCGGCCGGAGACTGATGTTGAGCTCCGTGTGAGATGCCTGCTGGTCTCCGCAGGGAACACTTAATTACTGATACTTCTGCCTCTCGAGAGCATAACTCAGTCGATCCAACGCTGCGTTAGGCATCATTGTAAGGCATATTCAGTGTCAACATGCCCCCAAAGCAGGCAACGATGCAGAGGCGAGCTGGTCTTGCGAGAGACAACCGCGTTCGGCCTTTATTGTCACAGGTTAATGGCCAGCGACGGATATCAGTCGCCGACGACAGACCGGTAGACCGGCCACCTGATGACTCTGATGATGAGATTACCGATCCAGAACCTTGCAGGGGATCAATCCCTTCGAATGCCATGCCAAGCTCAAAAGAGGCGTCTCGGGTCTTTTCGAGTACAAAACCAGCTTCAGACTCTGATGATGATCAGAGTGCCTGGTCATCTCGCGCCGACATGGCTCGACCTTATTTCGGCTCATCGAAGAGAGGAAAGGAGCAGAGCAAGATGTGGAGCGCTTCCCAGGAAAGCTCTCAAGGACAAGCGCAATACGAAGGCTCTCAGGGCTCTTTCTCTACAACACGTGGCAGCAAGAGAAACTCACCAGACGGCGGAGCACTTAGTCCAGAATCTAAGGTAACAAAGGCACGGAAGATCGGCCTTGACGACGAGAAAGAGGCCAAAAGATTACTAGTACGGAAGAAGAGCTATGGTCGAGGCGAAAACAGCAGAGGGCGTATCAGACCTCCCACAAAGTCAAAACCGAAGTCATCGCAGGAGAGGCCGATATCCAAGCTAGGAAGAGAAGGTTTGTTGTACATTGGTTTCAAAGCTATGGGGTTACTAACCATTGATCAGCTGCCGCGCCCAAGATGGTGCAGCCGTCTTTCAAAGCCTACGATGACGACCCATTTGACCAGTTCTTTAGCCAGACACCTCCAAAACGCATCATTGAGCCCGCGGCCACGTTTTTATCCTCTCCTCACGCTTCTGCTCATCCTGTTATGAAGCATGTATCTCTCAGTCCTCATTCGTCACCAAAGCGAAAAGCTAAGGCCGAGTTCAAACTTCCATCAGCTTCCTTACCTGAGTCTCTGCAGAGTCCAACGAATGCGCGCTCACAGCTTCGCAATCTAGAGTCAAGTCCTGAGTCTGATTTGAAGAAGACGAGGAAATTCTCGTTTGAATCCTCGGACTTGTCAGACTTGGACAGCGATCTCAAGCAGCTTGTAGAGGCACGTTGCCCCATGTGTAATGAGATTGTCGATGAGAAGTTGCTGCACGATTTCTCCAAGGGTGCCCGTCTGCACATCCGAAAGCAGATTCAGTTCTGCCGACTGCACAAAAAGAAGTCTGCTGAAAAGGCTTGGGATGCTCGGGGCTACCCCAAGATCGACTGGGAGGGACTTGATACTCGAATTGCTACTCACTATAGCTTTCTTGGAAAGATTATCAACGGCGGATCTTCTCACTTTGGTGATTTGCTGCTTGACAAGGTCAAGGAGGGCAAGAACCGGACCTTGCTCAAGGCAGAAGATAGCTTGACGCCTGGCTATTACGGCCCGCGGGGCCTTCGTGCATTCTCAGAGCACATTATCGGTCGCTTTTCATCGATTCTGAGAGAACGAGCCGTCGACGATCGGCTGATATCGTCGCGTGGTTATTCTAGCTATGTGGAGGCAGTGTTGGTCCCGGAATTGGCAGTGCTGTTGATATCTGATGATATGGTAGTGGAAGCCGAGGAAGCAAGAAGCATACTCGGGGACAGCAAGTGGATTGGAGACTTGCTTCACGAAGATAATGGCGATACTGTAGATCAACTCAGCGATGATGAGAAAGAGGGGTGATGACAGAAGGGCTTTTTGAGCGAGAATGGCAGCCAGGGGCAATGCGATGGAATCGCTAGCATGTGGTGGTTGACTGATATTCATAGCATCATGAAGCAGGTTACCTTATGCCATAGCAAGTATGCAATGGATGATTCTTCCAACAATGTTTCGTAGTGCCGTGTCTTCCACATAATGCTAATAAACTTTAATTCGTCAAAGGCCTAATACAAATTTCCATCTCAAAACTACCAAAAACCCCAACGCCATTCGTGATCCAAAACTTTTTTTCGTCGAAAACGCCCTTTCTTCACAGTCCCAACGCCTCCCGTCTACCTGTGCTGTTCAGATCGAGATACGGCGCCTCGCCCAACGACGCAACACGGTCGCCGGCCCTGGCCTCGACGTAGTCGTAGGTGGCGCAGTGCCACATGCTCCTGTTGTCCCAGATGGCGAGGTCGTTCTGGCGCCACTTGAAGCGGACCTGGGCGTCGTGGTTCTGGGTGACGAGGTTGAAGAGGTAGGCGAGGAGGACGTCGGACTCGTCCTTTGTGACGCCGTTGATGCGCTTGGTGAAGCCCTTGTTCACGTAGACGGACTTCCATCCCGTTACGGCTGAAGGGGGTAGGTTTCTTAGCTTGAGGTTCTAGACTTTTTTTTTTTGGAATGCTTTTGACTAGGGGTGGAGTGATGTGATAGACGGGGATTACACTTACGGTTGGTACGGATCACGGGGTGGATGGACTTGAGCTCGGAGCCCTTGTTCAGCGGCGAGCCGCGGAGGCCTTCTCGGAGGGGGTTACCCAGCCTGCGGGCCTCGTCGTGGAAGAATGTGGCGTCGTGGGTGGCCGTCAGCCCTTCGAGGAACTTCTGCATGGGCGGGGAGAGTCTGTCGTAGATCTCATATCCAGAAGCCCATAGCTGCGAGTTCACCCAGTTAGCCGGGCAAGGTTCCACCTCTCATCTGCAATGCAACTGCAAGGGTATGATGGCGAGCAAAGCAAGCAATCAAGTGAGCAAGGGGGAGGACACGGGTGGTTCCAGCCAGGCTTTTCAGGGGAAGAGAGGTGAGATGGGGAACGGGGACGCGGTTGGTTTGGGACTTACAGTGTCACCACCGGTGGCGGGAAGGGTGTGGATCTTGAGCATTGCGTAGTCCGAGGGGACCTGCTCGAAAGAGATGTCGGTGTGCCAGCCGGCGCTGGCGAAGCGGCTGACATCGCTCAGTTGGTGGGTGAGGCCGCCGCCCTTCTTCTGTTTCTCGCTGCTGATGACGCTGATTTGGTCACCGAGCTCGCTACCTTCTTCTGTCAGGGGGTGGATGTGAAGGCCTGATGATTCGGGCTATTTCTCGGATCAGGTTAGGGAGCTGAGTTACAAGTTGGGTTGAAGTTGTTGATTTTCACTTACACACCCGGCAAGCTCTGTGAGACGGAGGCAGAAATCCTTCATTTGGGTGGGCGTCACATCCTGGTCCCTCAAGAAGACGACACCACGCTGAGAAACTATGCCATCTATTAGCACATGGCTTGACATACATAGAGAGGTGGAGGATAAACTCACTTGTGACGGCCAAATCTCTAATGACCTGGTCGTCCGCCTTGAGGAGGTCAACAACCTGCAGGCCCTCATACTCACGTCCGATGACAGGGGTGATGTCTGCGTTCTTGAAGTTGTCCAGAGAACCGGAGTAGACGAGCGGCTTGCTCAAGCGGGGGCGAGCAGCCGAGTTTCCACCAACAATGTTGGAACCGGTAGAGACTGCGGAAGGCATGTCGTTGTTGTTATTGTTGCTGATGATCTTTTGTGATTTCACGGGGTGTGAGGTGGTATAGTCTGTTGATGCAGGGCGCTTGAGAGTGTCGTCGATCATGTTTTGTTTGGGGGTGTGTGAGGTAAGATCTGATAAGCGAAAGGGAAGATTTATGAGCGAGATATATGGCTAGATTTTATGTCCGGAGCACCCGTTATGTCTTGTCACTCTCCACGTACGTTGTCATAAGGAGGGAGAGTATTGTTCCCCTTTTTTCTTCTGTATGTTTTCAAAGCGAGATCGGGGAGTGACCAGTAATGTGAAATGGGGTGAGGAGGGAAAGAAGATCGTCAGACGTTTTCTCCAACGAGGATGGCTTCCCCTTGGTCGGGTGGCAGGTATTACGGAGTACTAAGAGACTCAGAGTCCTCATCGTTACGGAGGCTCCCGACAGGTGGGCGATGGCGCAATCGCAAAGCTTCCTAATTCGGCGAAGTCTGTCAGCCGTGGCCAATCAGCGGAGTGGGGGCACCTCAGGCACCCCCTCCGGAGACAACACTCGGCCATCTAACCTCCCACACACACACACCTCCCCCCTCTCCTGCTCTGCCTCATAGTCTCAAAACTCGCAGTCCTCGTCGGAGAATCTTTCGGACTTGAAAACGGACGCGGCAGCATCACGTCTTTGCTCTGGGCACATTGGCTACCGGGGCTACCTTGCCCATTGGCATATTTGCTCCGTTCCTTGTCACAAGCCTTTCTTGTCGACACCCTCCACATGGGCACAAGCAAAACAGAAAACACGAATGAAACCCCCATTGAACGTGAAGTCGTCGTTCGCCAGAGAAAAGGGCAGATGACATGTAGTCAAAACTATGTTGACAATGACATCGCCCGTTGGCCAAGACACGTTGCCAGGGGGTGTCGTTCCGAGAGCCCGGGGTTTTAATCGGTAGGCGGAGAATTCTGGGGTAAGGTTTTTTATTTGGAGAAACCAACTCTCACTTCTCCGGCTAGGCCATCCGGACCCGGTCGCTATCAGCAGCAGCAGAAAAGTTGTCAACACCATCTTTTCTCTCTCGCCCTTGGCCCCCTTGTCCGACCACATGGTTCACCTCCACTAGTATGTGGGTTCCTTCGAAGACGCAAGACCGAGCATAGATGTCGTGAGCCATGATCTGCTAGCCTCAATCAGACATATCAGAAGTTTGAGGAACGACTATTAAGTTGAGCATCAAGAACGTCTCCGTTCTTGAGACTGGAGCTTCGTGTCGATCACCGTCAGTTTACGCTACCTTTTTGTTTCCCTTTTTCTTCGCAAGCGAAACCTCGGGCAAGTGTGTGTGCTCCGGCCTCCACCTCACTTCTTGCTTACACGAGCTCTCTCGCCTGAACCAAGCGACGGCAGCAGTAGCAACAGCAAAGATGGCCGACGTCGAGCCCACCGCGCGGAAAACAGCCAGCGACAGCGGGAAGGACGCCGTATCCATATACCAGGACTCGGACGCGCCTGTCATCGGTCGCGAGAATCTGTCTGACCTCGTACCGCCGCATGAGTCTTATGAAGGAAAGCACAGATGGGATCCCGCCGCGACCTGGACAGAGGCTGAGGAGAGGAAGGTGGTTCGCATCACCGACATCAAGTTGCTGACGATGCTGTGTATCATGGTATGCGAAGCCACTTTGAGGTCATGAGAAGCTATTTTGCTAATATCAAACCAGTTCTTTGGCCTGCAATTGGACAGAGGAAACTTGAGCAATGCTCTGGCAGATGATTTCCTCAAAGACCTGAAGCTCAGCAGTGACGACTACAACAACGTACGTTCTGGCAGTCTGCCTCTTTGACTATCACAATTGCTAACATACGCTCTTGTAGGGAACCACAATTCAGCTGGTGTGCTTCCTGGCCGCCGAGTTCCCCGTCCAGTTCCTCACCAAGCGCTTCGGTTTCAAGTACGTTCTGCCGACCATGATGATGATGTGGGGAACCGTCTCCTGGACACAGGCCTGGATCACGACCCGCGCCGGCTTCTACGTGACGAGAGCCCTCATCGGCGCCTGCGAGGGTGGCTTCATTCCTGGTACTATTCTCTTCGCGACCTACTTTTACACATCAAAGGAGCTGTCCGTTCGACTGGCCGTGTTTTGGTCCACGCTTAATGTTGCACGAGTCATCTCGGCTCTGCTGGCGGCGGGTATCCTCAAGATGCGCGGCATTGGTGGACACACAGGCTGGTTCTGGCTCTTCCTGTTGGGTATGTGATCTGCTCCCTCGCCTTTTCGTCTCTTGTGTGTCTTGTCGCTGACTAGCCGCTCAGAGGGTCTCCTGACTTGTGTTTTGGCTGTCATGGTATGTCTGCCCGCGTTTCTTCCCCGCTTTCTCTCTTCCGAGGTATGGTGATTCGAAATGATTCCCCCCACTGACCCCATGTTGTTACAGGCATTCCTCTGGCTCCCCGCCTCCCCGACGAACACTACGACGGTCCTCTGGAGAAAACCATGGTACACAGAGAGACAGGAGGTCATCATGATCAACCGCATCCTCCGCGACGACCCCGCAAAGGGCCTCACTGCGCTGAAGGAGCCCATGACGTTCAAGGACATCAAGAACGCATGGCTCGACCCCTCCATGTGGGGCCTGTACCTCATCGGCCTCGTCGCCTACATTCCGGCCACGCCCGTCCAGGCGTATTTGACGCTCACCCTCCGCCGCCTGGGTTTCACGACGTTCAACGCCAACATGCTCACGGTGCCCTCGGCCGTGCTGCAAATCATTACGATGCTCACGCTGGCCTTTAGCAGCGACTACTTCAAGGAGCGAGCGTTCCACTGCATCTTTGGCGAGCTCTGGATCATGCCCCTGCTCATCACCCTCCTCACGCTGCCCGACGGTGGACGCGAATGGAGCCGATTTTCGGTTATTACGCTCATCTCTGGCTACCCTTACTTCCACCCAATCGTTTCATCGTGGATCTCGGAGAACACGTTCGACGTCAAGAAGCGCGCCATCTCGGCAGCGACGTACAACGTCATTGTGCAGATCGGGTCCCTCGCTGGATCCCAAATCTACCGCGCCTACGATGCGCCGTACTACAAGCGCGGCAACACGGTCTGCGTGTCGATTTGCGCCTTTAGTCTCGTTGTGTTCCTGGTCCACCGTCAAGTTCTTGTGCTGCTGAACAAGCGCAAGGCGCGGGTGTGGGACGCCATGTCCAACGAGGAGCGGCTGGCGTACCAGAGTGATGCGGCGGCGCGCGAACAGGACGGA